GAATTTCCCCTCAATGTCTTTTCTTTGTCCGGCGGTTCGAACGAGAATCACGGCTTTAGATTTTTCACTTTCACATCGGGAGGTCAAGGAGAAAGAGCTGCAGCTACCAGGCCATATTATTTTCAGGTAAAACCATTGTAAAATCATTGGGCACAAAATGGGTTTCAAATATCACTATAAGCCGTCTACATTTTGTCACACTCAAAGATATGTTTTTGGTATATGAGCGAGTCCCACGAGTTTTACATGGTGTTCGCCTATCTTATAATTATAAATAATCAAAATTAATCAAAAATAATCACCCTCATTGCAAGAGTCGTGTCGAATGTAAGTCGTTTTTCGAGAGTCGAATCGTATCGAAAATTTCACGTCATTGCCTAAAGTTTGCACTCGACTAGTGTATTAAAAAGGAAAAACTTGGCAGTACTGCGTAGTTTTCGACGATTTTCGTCGTTTACTTATTTCAGTACGACACTAGACAATGCCAATGTTGTGGGGTCGTACAATTTAGCCTAATTTACGACTTACGCAATGAGGCTGAATTAAATTTATTGTAAAACTAATTGCATTCGATTTTTTGATTATTTTTTTCTTCCATTTGGCTAAAAATACGATTTTATTTTTTATTTTTAATGGTAATCGGTAATTATTAATTTAAAAGTGGAAATAATGCTACAGCTCTGATTTAGATGATATAGGTTGTCCAAATATAAAAACTCTATATAAAGATAGTATGAATATAAATGTTTACAATTATAATCCCATTTATAGGATATGTGCAGGAAAAAATTTAATTTTATTTAAAAACTTTATTATATCATACATGAATCTAGAAAAAATATATATATAACTCAATAAAAAAATATTGCGAATGCTCTTTTTCGCACAGGGACAATCGTCGCCATACGAATGTTGGTTAGGGTTTGATGTGAGCCGGACGTGTGAGTGAGATAATGATGGAAAATAAATCACAAGGGTATATTCATAAATACGAGGATGGTTCCGTGCGCAGAAGTGGAAAACTTTTGACTGCCATTCACCTGGGGGTGGCCAGAAGCGATTCTGGGTAGCAACCATACACCCGTTTAGGAGCAAGCTAAAGTTAAAAGGTGTAAAACTTCGCGTGCGCTGGGTTTGGGTCCCGCCACGCTAAAACACCGCCCAATGAAAAATTCCAACAAGCCTCGGATGAGACCCCCTTTTTTTGATGAAGACCACGGCAAACGTTTAAAGGATTATGATTTGACAGCATGCACCTGGAATATCCGGACCATTAATGGGGAAGGTGCCTCTGCCCGGCTGGTTGATGTCCTCGGGAATACAAAGGCTGACATCACCGCCATCCAAGAAATGCGATGGACGGGGCAAGGAAAAGTAAGTGTGAAGCCTTGCCTCGTCTACTACAGTTGCCACGCAAAGGAAGGCAAATTCGGTGTTGGATTCGAGGTACCGGCGTTCACACCGGTGGACGAACGTCTAGCCACAATCCGCATAAAAGCTAGATTCTTCAACATATCACTCATCTGCGCCCATGCCCCGACGGAAGAGAAGGACGAGGCGTCTAAGGATCTCTTCTATGAGCGCTTGGAACGAACATATGAGCGCTGCCCCCGACACGATGTCAAAATCGTGCTCGGCGATTTTAATGCCAAGGTGGGCAAGGAAGGGATCTTTGGCGCCACTGTCGGAAAATTCAGCCTCCACGACGAAACGTCCGATATCGGACTGAGGCTAATCGACTTCGCCGGAGCCGGAGGTAATATGTAGTACTAGGTTCCCGCATAAGAACATCCACATATTGTGTTAGACGGAAGGCATGCTTCAAGCGTTTTAGACATACATACACTCCGAGGGCCAAACATCGACTCGGACCACTATCTTGTTGTAGCCAAGATACGCAGCAAAAAATGTGCGCCCAACAATGCAAAGAAAGCTTAACGTCGAAAAGCTGAAATCACAACAGACGGCCAATTTATTCGCCACTCGACTCACACACCTGCCCTCTGAGAGCACTCTTCAACAATCCGACATACGCGAGCAGTGGAACCACATTTCCCGATCATTAAGTACCGCCGCCGAAGAAGTAGTTGGATTTCAGCGAGCCCGAAAAAAACAACTGGCACGATGAGAAATGTCAAGAAGCCGCAGAGAAAAAAGACGCCGCCTGTAGGGCCACTGTACTGAAGAAGGAAGCGAAGGAAGCGAGACGTATTTGCCGCAATAAGAAGAGAGAAGACGAAATACGTGAGTGCGAGGAGCGTGAAATGCTGGCTGATAGGAAGAACGCACGCAAATTCTACCAGAGGGTTAGGCGACTTACGGAAGGTTTCAAGACAGGGGCGAACTCCTGTAGGAACAACAATGGCGACCTAGTGACCCATGTCCACAATGTACTTAAATTGTGTAGGGAACACTTTTACAACCTACTGACTGGTAGCAGCGCTGAAAGTAGTGGAGAAGACGAACACGAGTCCCCAGTCGATGATGATGGAGTAGCTATCCCACTGCCTGACTATGGAGCGGTACGAATAGCGATTACCCGGCTGAAAAACAACAAAGCTGCTGGAGCTGACGGCCTGCCAGCCGACCTATTCAAGTACGGCGGCGAGGAGCTGATGAGGTGCATGCATCAGCTAGTACGCAGAATATGGTCAGATGAACGCATGCCCCACGACTGGAATTTGAGTGTGCTCTGCCCAACCCACAAGAAAGGCGACCCCGCCATACGCGCCAACTACAGCGGACTCAGCCTTCTAAGCATAGGTTATAAGGTCTTATCGAGTGTATTATGCGAAAGACGGAAGCCCACCGTCAACGAACTGATTGGACCTTAGCAGTGTGGCTTTAGGCCTGGCGAATCCACCATAGATTAGGTATTCGCAATACGCCAAATCTTGCAAAAGACCCGCGAGAATAGGGTCGACACAAACCATCTATTGGTCGATTTCAAAGCCGCTTTCGACAGCACGAAGAGAAGTTGCCTCTACGCCGCGATGTCTGAATTTGGTATCCCCGCGAAACTAATATGGCTGTGTAAAAGGACGTGGAGCAATACCACCAGCTCCGTCAGAATAGGGAAGGACCTCTCCGAGCCGTTTGATACGAGGTTTCAGACAAGGGGACTGTCTCACACGAATGTGATTCTGATGTTGGAGAAGATAATAAGAGCCACGGAACTGAACCGCTCAGGCATAATACTTTACAAGAGCGTACAATTGCTAGCGTATGCCGACGACATCGATATTATCGGTAAAAACAAGGGCTATGTCTGTTCTGCCTTCTCGGGATTGGATAGAGAAGCAAAGCGAATGGGTCGGGCGGTGAAGGAGGACAAAACGAAGTATCTCCTGTCATCACACAAACCGTCAGAGCATACGCGTCTTGGCACCCACGTCACTGTTGACAGTTACAAGTTTCAAAAAGTAGACGACTTCGTTTATTTGGGAACTAGCATTAACACCAATAACAGTGTCAGCCTTGAAATCCAACGTAGGCAATTGAGAAGTAAAGTCCTCTCTCGTCGTACAAAGATCACGCTCTATATGTCACTCATCATGCCTCTGCTGGTGTATGGCGCGGAGGCATGGACAATGAAAGCATCTGATGAGGCGGCTTTTGGAGTTTTCGAGGGAAAGATTCTTCGAAAGATTTACGGGCCTTTACGCGTTGGTGATGGTGAATATCGCAGACGATTTAGCGATGAGCTGTATGAGCTTTACAACGATATGGACATAAAGCAGCGAATTATAATTCAGCGGCTCTGCTGGCTTGGCCATATCGTTCGAATGGACAGAAACGCTCCTGCTCTGAAAATATTCAACGCGGGCCGTGATGCTGGTAACAGAAGAGAGGAAGGCCTCCTCTGCGTTGGAAAGACCAGGCTATTGCGCGATTGGTATTCATGCGGTGAGACTAGGAATTTCGACTGATACTTTTGTATCAGCTGTCAAGAGGAAGATGAAGTGGAATCATCGTCACACTTTCTTTTAGACTGTATAACCTTCGCGAGAGTAAGATGGAAGCAGTTTGGCTCGCACTTCTGAACAAACAGCTCTCAGGGATCGAAATTAGCCGCAATCGAAATTTCATAATCGGCTCGCGGCGTTAACTTAACCTAACCTTACCTGTACTTCTTTGTGCTATGAAATAGTTGGTCACATTAAGTATGTATGTACACATTGTATACTTACATATGTATGTATCAAACTGTATTAATATTTTCGTTATTACCTATTCATATTGTAACCTACATACTAAATATTTTCTTCTCTACGTACATAAGTACATCGATATTAACATACATACATAGCTACTTGTTCTTCTAACTCATTCAATCCCTTTAGGTAAAATTACTGTTGAACTTAGTTTTGGCTAAGAATTAGTATTTAAGCATAAAAGAGCTCAAATAAGGAAACAGTTAATTTTTCAACACGCGCGAATTTTGTAACTTAATGTAGAAGACAGGTAAGGCCACCAAACGGGTGACCCCGCGATAGTCAGCAAATTTATTACACATACTTCTGGCAAAGTTTTTTTTCAAATAGTGTAGAACAATATTATGAAGGACGGTGAACTGCATCTGACGGCCAGTCTACTAGTACTGGAATACCACAACGTGCACCGGTGGGTGAACAACAGATTTCCGAGCCACCACAGTTTCCCGGTGAAATCTGCCGTGTCGGTATCAAACCACCCGTTTTCTGCAAGGAACAGCCAGTTCTCTATTTTATACAAATGGAATCACAGTTCGCTGCAGCAGGAATCATGACCGACCAAACGAAATACATCCACGTTATTTCATCGCCCGAAGTCCAGTACCTCTTAGCAGTTGGCGACATCGTCCGTAATCCTCCAGAGACAGGCAAGTACGAAGCCGTAAAAGCCGCATTAATTTCGGAATTCACCGACTCGGATCAAAAAAAGTTACGCAGAATTGTAAAAGAAATTAAATTAGGTGACCGTAAACCGACGTATGAAAGAGCTGGCGAACGGCAGGATAAGATGACGTATTAGAATCACTCTGGATCGAACGTCTCCCTAACTCGATACGCTCTGCTATCACTATCCTCGACGGCGATTCAACGCAAATGGCATTGCAAGCTGACCGTATGATCGAGATGCAGAGTTTTCCAGAGTTTCGCCGCAGAAATTGATGCTCTACGAAAGGAAATCGCTGAACTAAAGGTTAGAAGACCTAACCATAAACGCCCTCGCGATCGAAACCGCGGCCAGAGTAAAGCACGCTTTCCGTTCTGCCGATATCACTACAAATTATGTGATAAGGCTAAAAAATACATCGAACCGTGTCAGTTTAAAAAGCTCTCGCCATCCGCCACGGAAAATTAACCGCTGCTCTGTCCCAAACGACGCGCAGAGCAGACGCAAGCAGAAGCCGTCGTTTATATGTTACCGATCGTAAAACTAAGGTCCAATACCTCGTAGACACTGGAGCCGATTTTTCAGTTATTCCACAGACCAGTCGCTCCTCGCCTAAAGCAAAAACTCTATATGCTGCAAATGGTTCACCAATCAACGTTTATGGTACAAAGATCCTGCCAATCGACCTCGGACGCCGAAGACAAATGGATTGGGAGTTCGTCGTAGCTGATGTGACTAGGCCAATATTGGGTGCACACTTTTTGTTCGAATATGGTCTGTTAGACGACGTGCGTAAACAGAAGCTTATTGATGGCAAAACGAAATTGGAGAATAGTGGTATGAAATGCAACGACTACATAGAAAAGATTTTTTTTTTCGCCAAGTATAACGGCGTTTACGAAGTCTCTGCTCCAAAAATATAAAGATCTGACACAACCCGTGAAAGCAGCAACGCCAACCACCACAGTGAAGCACCATATCATCATCTCAGGTCCACCCATCTATGCAAAAGCGCGCCGGCTTAACGCAGAAAAATAGACCATAGCAAAAAGAGAGTTTGACTATATGCTAAAGCAAGGCATTTGTAGCCCTAGCAGCAGCCAGTGGGCTCATCCGTTACACATGGCCCCGAAGAAAACACCAGGTGAGTGGCGCCCTTGTGGCGATTATCGTCGCTTAAACGCAGTTTCAAAACCGGATCGCTACCCTATGCCGCACATTCAAGATTTCTCACAGAGCGGAAAAACGATATTTTCCTTAATCGAATTAGAGAGGGCCTACCACCAGATTCCGATCGCGTCGGAAGATCGCGGCCTGTATGAGTTCAATGTCATGACCTTCGGCTTAAGGAACGCTGGTCAGACTTCCCAGCGCTACATGAACCAGATTTTCTTTGACTTGGACTTTGTCATCATTTATATTGACGATATTTGCATAGCGTCAGCGACTATGGAAGATCATAAAGATCATTTAGAAATGGTCGTGTAACGTTTACGTAAACATGGTCTGAAAATAAACGCTTCAAAATGTGTTTTCGCGAAAACCGAAGTGACGTTCTTGGGGCACCGCATAACAAAAGATGGTGTCGCGCCGAGCGAGGAAAAAGTGAACGCCATAGTGAATTTTCGGAAGCCCACAGTTGCACCCGAGCTACGCAGATTTATGGCAATGCTAAATTTCTACCGACGCATGCTCCCTGACGCGGCGCATACGCACGGCAAACTACAAAAGCTCATAAAAGGGAACAAGAGAAAGGATTCCACAGTAATCATATGGGACGCCGAAGCCGATGAAGATTTCCAAAAGTGTAAAATTGACTTGGCCGAAGCAACAATGTTGGCACATCATTCGCCAAACGCTCAGCTGTTACTCAACGTCGATGCAAGCAATCACTGTTTGGGGGGCAGCCATGCATGAACTAGTCGACGGAAAGCTCAAGCCACTAGGATTTTTTTTCCAAAACAATGTCTGACTCCCAAAAGAAGCAAAGCACCTACAACAAAGAACTATTAGCGATGTATCTATCCGTAAAACACTTACCGCTATCTGATCGAGGGAAGAAAATGCACAATTCTAACAGACCACAAGCCATTAACATTCGCTTTCGACCAAAATCTGGAGAAAACTGCACCCGTTCAAACACACCAGCTAAACTATATTAGCCAGTTCACCACTACTGTCCAGCTTATCGCAGGAAAGGACAACGTAGTAGCTGACCTACTCCATGCATCGAAACGATTTTCAGCGGAGAACAAGTCGACTTCGAAAAACTTGCTAGAAGTCACAAATCGAAAACCGAATTAGAGGAACTGATGAAAAGTGACAACCTTCAGTTTAAGCTGATCGACATCCCAAGTACAAGCAACTCAGTATGGTGTGACATCTCGACAGGTCGCGCGCGTCCATTCGTAACAGGTGATTTTCGAAGACACGTTTTTAACTCTTTGCACAATGTATCCCATTCAGGAATACGGTCCACCGTGAAGATGGTATCGGAACGTTTTATATGGAGAAACCTGAAAAAAGACGTCACAAGAATGGCTAAGCGCTGCATCAGTTGTCATAAGTCCAAAGAAAGTAGACACAACCGCGCCGCAATTAATACTATTAAGATACCTGATGCACGATTCAAGCACGTCAATATCGACTTAATTGGACCTCTGCCCTTGTCTGGCGGCTATAAATACTGCTTGAGGTGTATTGATCGATTTACGCGATGGCCCGTAGCAATACCCATACAAGATATCACCGCGGAGACAGTCGCTCAAGCTTTCTTATCTGGATGGATCGCGAACTATGGAGTACCTCGAGCCATTACAACCGATCAGGGTAGACAGTTTGAGTCCAAACTTTTCAAGGAACTATCTCAACTGACTGGATCTAAGCATCTGCGTACTACCGCATACCACCCTCAAGCTAATGGGCTCGTCGAACGAATGCATACAGCAGCCAACTGGATTAACAGTCTCCCTCTTGTTTTACTGGGACTCCGCACAACTTTCAAAATCGACCTGCTTACCTCGCCGGCGGAAATGTTGTACAGGACCACATTGTCACTACCCGGAGAATTTTTCGATCAACCAAGCGAAGAGTACACACAAAGCGACTTTGTAAGTGCATTACGTAAAATCATGATCAAGTTAAAGCCTGCTCCCACTGCAAATCATTCGTCTCACACGGCGTTTATTCATAAGGACCTACAAAGCTGTGCCCACGTATTTGTCAGGGACGATAGCGTGCGCCCACCATTAAAGACACCATTCGACGGCCCTTTTAAAGTAGTCAAACGCCAGGTTAGAAACTTTGAGGTCGAAATAGGAAGCCGAGTAGTCAAAATAAGCATAGACCGTTTGAAGCCTGCATTCATCACCGCAGACGAACATGAGCAAACAAAAAAAAGCACAGTGCCAGGTTCAGCAACAACAAGAATTAAACAGCAAGCGGGGCAAGCCAACAACAGAAGCAACAGTAAGAACAAAGCGTGGGCGGACAGTTCGCTTTCCGGAGAGGTATTCCTAATCTTAGCGGAACATTTTTGTTCGAGGGGGGAGTGGATGTAGGGTACATCTTAATGTACACCATTTCGAATTAACATACATTTCAATATTCTACTATATGTACTTATCTGC